CCACATAGTGAGGTAGATATGTGGGGGCGTGTTAGAACGAGCCGTTTTAGGGGGGCGTGGCAGAGTCTTAACTTTGATAAAGAATATCTCTTTGGTTTTGAGACTTTAGTCTTTGCAACTTCAGGGATCTTATCTATTCACGAACAGCTTGTAACACTCCAAAGAGAAAGGAAAACGTAAAATCGCATCATATGACCCCTTTAAGTCCTGCAAGTTGAAAGGTGGGGCCTCCATGGATTGGAATTGTTGGTCCATCACGTCCCATAGATGCACAATGGGATTGAGATCTGGGGAATTTTTAGGCCAAGGCAACACCTTGAACTTTTCATCATGTGAAGATTTCCTGCTTCCAACAACATGATATTCAAGAACTGACAGTTCACTTACTGCTTAACCCTTAAATGCACAAATGTTTCGCCAATCATTATTACATATTTGGGTCTTTAGCGACCCGGACCTATATTTCCAGTACAGATGGATCTCTAACTGCTGCAATAGCAAAAAACTCTCTTGTTTTCAATGACTTCATATTCAATATTTTGATCACTGGCAGCTTATTCACCACATCCAGCATCAAATGACAGTGACATTTATATTTCATTGCGTATAGTAATTGCTCTGCAGTAAAGCAGAATTTTACCAGTTAAACTTTTGCTGATGATATTCGTTTGTTTTTTGTCTGCGGTAATTATGAGTGAAATATCACGTCATCATTGTGTATCAAACAGTGCCACCTTGAGGAAAAAAGATACATTGCACATATAGAGTCATCAGATATGTAAATATAGTTGCGCAGGAAAGAATACTTACACATTTACATACCTCGGGTCTGTAGCGACCCTATACACTTTTTACAAAAAATGTATCAGAAAACAGACATTCTTTTATATTTTACTATTTTTTTCTTGTTACATTGTTTATAATGAATAGATTGAGGAATACTAATGCCGAGTTCACACTGCACGATTTTCAAACTCGTGGGATCGCCGTTGTTTTCACACTGCCTGACTATCTGGGGTAGCATTCAGTTGCTGCTGTGTTCACATTGCAGGATGGATCGGCGACAGGGGGTTTCACATTGCATGACTTCACAATAGGAAGAATCGCAGACAGCTCTGTCTGGTGCAGGGTAGCCAGGTTTTCGCGACAAAACCCACCCAATTACTACTCAAAACTAGCCTGAAAATAGCCCAATTGCTTTCGAGGGGGTCCCCCAGTAAAAATCG